TGCGTAAGTATGTACGTATGATTTGTGTGCACCTGGAAGTATACTATATACGCTTTTATGTGCAATGCTATACACCTAAAAGTATGCTACGAAATACACGTTTCGTTCGTTTGTATGCATTTATTTTGCATACTTTTTATCACTTTTTAATGCATTTTTTAAGTTTCCATTTGGCAATTTCATCTGTGGACAGTGTCTTGGAGCGTCTGTGCATCTGTCAGTGTTGCGAAAAGGTGAACGAATTAATTGCATTTTAAGGCAGCAGCTGCGGCGAATGTTTCCTTTTGTATTTTTATATTGCAAATGAGATTGCGTGTTGATTTTCGAGTCATCTGTTTGATGCAAGTGTTCAAAATTTACATAGAAATTGCAAACTATGTGTGTATATGTATCAGGGAGTGAAATACGATGAATCTAAGATATATCTATGATTCTTTACGGTATAGCGAGACTCAAAGCGAACAGAGATACATTTTTAAACATGTAGAAAGTAAACAGTAAAGCCTTAACTTTATTAGAGAATTGTTTACTAAGTAGCACCTGAAGCATATTTTTAAAACCCTAGTATCAAACATTAGCTATTGAGTCCATGAGTGCCACTCGTTGAGTCCGCATATGTCGCCATTGATTTGATTTGGAGGTCCATGAACTTAGAAACATATTCTTTCACGCTAGCTTTCCTGGTAGCTTATATAGGTTAAGTTAGGTTAAGGGGTCGATACTGAGGGGGATCTCATTTGAACAGTTTAGAACGCCGATCCGTTGTGATACTCTTATATACTGGGTCATAAAACCTTACAAATCGACAAAGCGCTTGAGCCTATCACACATTTGTTGAGACGGTTTCCGCTATGTCTTCTTGTTCGTCGAAGGTAAGATTACTGAGATCTTTCAGCCTCAGTCTTGCAAAGCCTGACAATGCAGGAGAAAGTGTCTGGATGTTTCCACCTCACCCTAGTCCATACAACTTTGACAACTAGCGTCCGACAAGATTTTTAGCCTTAAGCTGTTTGGCGATCTGAAAATAAAGTTCTCTTCTCGACACTACTAGCGTGGATCAACAGTGTTCTGCAAGCTGGTTAAGGCTTTTAACAAAACCACTTTAGAAACTCTAACCATATTTGATAGACAGCTGGAGAGGGAGAGGTAGAAAACACTCTCGCGTCTATATCACTTTGAAAGATTGGGTATATGTTGAAAACTTTTGAAAGTTGAACTGTCTCTGTACTGGAAAATTTAAAACTAGTGGTTGTTGACCTTGAAGCCACTGCGAATACTCGAGCATATTCGGGCCCAGATTGAAACCATCTCCCATTGGACTCAAATTGTTCGTAGATTAACTATATTGTAGGCTTCACAAACCTCATGGTTAATAGTACATTTACTTAACTAGTTTCATCCGAGAAAATGCTAATTTGTTAAAACTACTCTAAGAGCAGTTTTCCCAAATGTATAATGGAGTAATATTATTGCCGAGCATAGAGGACCGATTATATTCGATCCACAGATTCACAGCCAGTAGCCCACTAAAAGTGACTTAAAGACAATCTTTAATTTTAGAATACAGGAATCTTTCTATTTTTAATTACTATGCAGTAAGACTTCGTCATGTTAAGTATTCTCCAAATTTATACCACCAAGAGTGGCTCGTTGATAGTCGACATTCGAATGAGCATGAGAATAAGTCTTAACCCTCGTTACCAGAATACCCAGGCAAGGACTGGTCCTCCGATAATTTTAGTCAAAATCGGATTAGGCTCTTCCTCACTTTTGTCAGAACCAGCATGTCCATAAATGCAAGATCAGTTCCCTTATCGAACTTCATACTCTTAGCCGTCTGAACTTTAATTCAATTAACTGTCTTCAGTGGTATTAACGGATGATGATGAATTTCCCCCCGACAAGTCCAGTATTTGAGGTACAGTGAAGTGTTATTTTGTAATCGGTATTAATTCGCACGAATGACATCGTATACCACTACGTTGTATGCGCTCAAATACATATTTACACATGTAAAGCATTTGCCGTAAAATACCTTGTAGGAAAATCATAGCCAGTGGCTGGAATTTTTCTAGGTATTAGGACCAGCTTAAGAATAAGTCTTTGTATTTTTATTTTTGATTTCAATTTAAGTGAGTATTTGAAAAAAATATAACATTAATGTTGTGCAAACGCTTGCTAGTCTATCTTTATTTGATTATACCAGTTTATACCAATTTATGTCAGTTGTTGTTTAATTGGCCACTCTTTCAGGTTCGGTGATTCTAAGAGAAATATTCATATGCATATGATGTAGTATATATATATGTGCTTTTGCAATTTATACTTTTAGAAGAACTCCGTTTTACAAAAATGTATGCTTAGCATTTGAAAAAATCTCTCTACATGGTCTTTACAGATATATAAAGCAAATATATGAATATTTGCTTAAAATACTTGCTTACATATGCATCATATGTATATGTATGTTGAAGGATGGGCTGTGCCATCCGTGCTATCAAATTCAATGGGATATGAATATAAACTCCCTCGTAATCGCCGCTCTTAATGGTCAACTTGATTGAAACAATGCTTCAGCAAACACATTGGACAGTGTTTTAATTCATAGACAATTTTTCTAAAATATAATTTAGCCGTATATAGGTTTAAGTGTTTACCATCATCACATTTCACAAAGATTGAAACATTGGTCCGAGTGCCCTTGATTAAACTTTGTCTAATACATCAGAGAAGTCATATTATATAATTGGGTGTTGCTTTTTTTTTAATAAGTACAAAAATATACATAATAGTTAAGTTTGGCAGGTTAAAGGTTTATATGCCTAGGATAAATAAGTTAAATTTGTGAAAAAAGAAAATTCTTTCGGTAGATCAATCTGTTCCTGACCACAAAATATGCATAGATCATGCAGAGTCTAAGCGGCAAAAAACTAAAAATTGTATACCATTTCTAATGCATGTTTTGAGATGTCCGAGTTTTTGGCGACGAAACGTCAAGTTTTTTTATGCCTTTAAGTTTAGTCAAGCTTTTCCTTTCATTTGTAGCATTACCCTTGCTGTTAACCGACATATGAAAACCTATAAGTTTTAGGCCAACTTCGAACTTTTAATGAAGTTTTCATGGCAGAAATATTTTTGAGAATTGCATATTTTGCTCTCTACAAATTCAACTTAAATGTCTTTTAACTTTTACCGCTTGAGTTAGTCCACATAGATTGACATAACCAAGTTTTTAAACTTCGCGCAAACAAAAAGCTACCATTGCAGATATAATTCCAATAAACTAAGCAATATAGACACTGTATACTCCCACAGAGGCAACACATTGCGACCACCCAATCAACAGGACATTGACGAATTTCGACATTTTATTCCATTTTGACGGACCAACAAAGCTTACTTTGTGGTATTGTTGCAAGGAAAAAATGATGAGTGAACATAAGTATATATGTACAGGTGCACTCTGATATTTTTGTATTTATCTCTTATATAACATACGAGGACGCGTTTTCACGTACGTTGAATGTGAAGAAGTGAAAGTATTAACACAAATTTAATTATCTTCCTCAATGAGTTGCGCTCTGCGTCAATTTTTGGGATTATACATCATTGGATTGGTGCCAGGTCAGAGCTTTACAAGATCGAAGTTCTACATAACCACAGGTAAAGGAATTTAACTCTTGTGAATGAACCCAATGTCGTTGACGTTCGTATACTTAGAGCAGCCACGTCCATTGATCAAAGAGGACGACTCCTTGTAAGCCCTTGCATTGTTTTAGATAACTTGTGTCTTGTTTAGATCTCGTACAGTTCAGAATCAACCAAATGTGCTCAACTTGCTTTTTATGAAATTGAAAAATACAGACCAGGCAAGCATTTTTAGCGTTGAGGCTCAGGTCGAGCGTGGTCATTATGGAAATTTATTGCCTCGTATCTAACATAGTCTCAAATTCCGAGCGTTTTCGGCAGTTGTCGCCTCAATTTTATGTGTTGTTGTCGACAGCATTCTTCATTAATAATTTCATCTGGCTTTCGGGTTGTCGTAATGGATCCATTTTTCATCACCAGTTACAATCCGATACAAAAGCGATTACGACATGTAGGTTCAAACAGCTAACATTTCTGACATGAAACCGTCTTTCAACGTCTCTTGGCTTCAATTCCTATCACACCCAATTCGCCTGCTTTTGAATGTATCTGGCTGCTTTTAAACGTTTTGCAATGACTGCTTGACTAACTCACAATGATTCTGCGAGATCTTCTTGCTTTCAGTTCGCCATCTTCAAAGTGTAACGCTCAAAGGCATTGAAATATTTTCAGGCATGTGACAAAACTGGAAATCCGATCGCGCTTATACAACGTGATATACAGATTACTAAAGACATCTATTGGAAAAATAATGGATATCTTTTTCCTAGACCTATTATTTACGAAAAAGTTAACGGCTTTTCAAACAATCCTCATATATGCCAAACATTAATATTTTGATATTGAACTCTTCTCCCTTCGGTTATATGTATATAAACTCAAAATCATTCGCACGGAAATTACCTACGCGATAAACAGTCACAATGGGGACTTAACGGTACATATCAACTCGTATAAAAATTTTTATTTTCTTGCATTTATGTATGTATATAGTATATGTTTGTATGTACATTGTACATACAACACAAAACCTCACATAGCTCAATACCCTACCGTATAACCAGTGCAAATCAATGAAACTGCACGTCCTTCAACTCTACAGCATGGAGTGGCAACCTGGACGACTACAGCCGAAGATGAAGTGCGAAGAACAATAAGTGTACACGCGGAATTCCGGTCTATACGACAGCAAAATTGCTCATGAATGAGTATGTATGTTTGTGTCGACAGATGCACACGAGGATAAAGTTAAAGCTTGCGTCCAAACTGGATTATCAATATCGAAGTCTCCAAATGAAATTTATAAAGCAAGGTTGTACAGATTTTTTAAATGAAAATTAATTAAAAAAACATTTTTCAAATTTTAATTTAACAATCATTTTGTTATTTATAAGTATTTTAGTTATACATCTCAAAGAAGGGAATGAAGGGATCAGAGAATTAATTTATTAGTAGTTTAAGGTGGCTGCGGCAATTAAGACTTTACGTTAGCTAAGAGTAAGATAGTGCTGTAATTAATTCCACCAATGCCGTCGACTACATCAGTATTGAATGAATTCTATATATATCAGGACGAGCTGACATTGTAAGAAATTGCAATGAAGGAGAGCTGTGAAGATCTTGTATTTTGGGAATGATGTCTTCAATGCAGTTAAGGGATAAGATTTCTCTACGCGAATATTGAGTGATATCCCTGGATCCGACATATATTCAAGTACGTTCCGACTAGGTCTGGGCAAAATGTAACATTTACTTATGCTTTGGAGGCTTTTCGCAAAACTGGCTTGTAGTGGTACAGCTTTCCGAAAGCCATGAAATCTGCTTGTTTCTGTTGTAGTTGATGTTGTGCCGAGTTGACAGTTTTTGTCTGTAAAGAAATCCAGAGCTTTGCTGATGACGTCGATACGACTATCGTAAGAAAATTATCTTGATTCTCACTTTACTCAGAAACTCTCGAGGACAATTACTAGATCTTATTTACGGGTTGACTTAATTGACCATTCGTCCCGGTTTGGCCGGGACAGTCCGGGTTCCAAGTTAAGCGTTCTGTGCTTAGAAATTAAAAAAAAAGAATGAATTAAATAAAATTGTGTTGCTCTCTCACCTATTATATGTCGCGATATTCAGTGAATTATAATATGGCAAAAATCGACCACTAAAAAAAGTGCCGGATTTTGCCAGTGCAAATATGGTCACCTAAGGGTAGACCTTACCTTCGACTGTTACCCTGCTAGTTACTCACGATTTCGTTCTCATGTTTTCGCCTTCCTTGTGTTATTACGTGACACTTCGAACCATTGACCGCAGTTTCTTGTTGCTTGACAGCTTCATTGTTTCTGTTTTCAACCCTTTTAGAAAGTAATGTCTGCAATTCAATCTCTAAAGCATTTAAAAAGTTGCCACCTATATCGTCTACTAGATTCAAGTACAAGGCGAGTGATCAATGACGATACGCTAAGAATTGCATTTTTCTCCCACTCACAGCCAGTTTCCTTCCGACACTCGATCGTTGTTCAGATCCACTTTCGCTCTTCTTGTTTTCCGTATTCAGTATTTTTTAGCAGGAACTTGCTATAGATATATCATAGTTACATATATGAGGACTGAAAGATTCTTACGGCTGTGCCTTCTGTCTATGTATATAAAAATAAAATGGAATCCTTTTATGCTTAGTATAGAAATCCATAACCCAGAAAGCTTCTCTTTAGTCGAATAAATATCTAACCTCAATTTTCCACCCTAAGTTTCTAATAACTAGTTTCAGTGCTCCTCATTCGGTCAACAACTCGTTGATACACATATTTACATAGTTAAGATCTCCCAGAAATTAAAAAATATTCCAAACTTTTACCGCTGACCAAGGAAGTAGTAAACGCTTCCCTTTTAGCATAATTTATTTTTTTCCTCAACTTCTTATCGTTTTAATTAGTTTCGAAAAGTTTTCAACGGACACTCGTTCGCTTGCTGTTTGCAACGGCACTCGCCCGCATATTTACCTAAACGCATGCAAACCAAATCATCGACTAACAAATGTACTTATGAATATATTCTACCTAGAAGAGCATATCAGCACCGGCTGGCGCCTAATGATGACCAACAGTTGGGGTAGAAACAGTTGTTTAGATAATAGTAGAACAAAAACAATACTTATTGCAGATAAATACTTGCGTAAAATTGCTGTAATTACGCAAGTGGAGCAAATGAGAGAATAGAAAACCAGAGTAATTATTTGCATAGACTGTAATCGGATAAGAAACGATATGAAGTGCATTTGCTAACTAATAAATATACGAAGTTAAGCAATATGAAATCGCATGCACTAATTAGAATTTTTAATTGCTGAATTGCATATAATGCAGCTGAATCATAAATTTATTATGCTGAATTTAATTTCAGAGCTGAATTCAGTGTAGCATCACACACGGCTTTAATTTTAGGTGGCTGAATTATAGTTTTATTAAGCTGAATTATAATTTTATTAAGCTTTATTAATTTTAGAGCTGAACTTGGTGTGGCGGTATACATGTCTTTAATTTTATGCAGCTACATTATTATCATTTTATTAAGCTGCATTTCATTTTGTGACTGATTTCAGTGTAACGGTACAGCTGCCTTAATTTTTTTTACAGCTGAATAGCATTCTAGCCGACTATGTAAGCAAACAAGTTAAGAAATATCTCATTTATTTAAAATATTTAGGCCTTTCATGGCGCTGAATAGAATTCTAACTGTCTATGTTAGCGAAAAAGACTATTTGTTAAAATTATTACTCTTTTGATGTTGCGGAATTTCGTTTTGCCTTGTACAGAAAAAAAATTTCCAATTGGTTTATAATTTCATTACATTAAAAGAAAATTAATTAAATTCCATATTTTATACGATAAATAAAATTGTTGGGTGTATACATATATGCAGCTGTACTAACTTTGTGTATATTAAGTGAACGTAAATATTTTATTTAAAAGAAATGAAAGAGCTGAATTTTTTAGATAACCCCATTTGGTAGCAGCCGTGTTAAGTACCTACAGTGCTGGATCAAATATTACATTTCCCCTAAATCAAAAAAATTTAAAAGCTGAATTCATGCAACGGTAAAATGGGGCTGAATTGCCGTCAAATACGCTTCAAAACGCGTAGCATCATATTCAGCCATAAAGATCTGTTCAGCGCAGCTGAAAAGTTTGTAAATTCAATAACAATTATATGATTATATGAAATTGCATAAAAAACTAACTACAAAGCAGTTAATAGTAAAAGTGAAAAATTAATGTCAAAAACAACTCATATTAAGTGTGTAGCACACAGGCAACAGCAACAAATTAGCCTGTTGCAAGTTGCTTATTGAGTAATAACTTTTCTGTTGGGCAAATTAGCATTGAGTGGTGGTGAGTAGCAAAAACTTTTCCATAATGAGATGAATGTTGTTGTTGTTTTAGTATTGTATAGTGGATGGTGTTATTACAGAATATTACCTGGAAACGGAGTAAAGTTGTGGTACAAAAGAAAATTACAATAAAAATTAAAAGATGTAAAAATAAAAAGATTCATAACAGTAAGAATAACAAATGGATTGAGTCTAATTACAATAATGAAAATAAGATAAAAATATGTAAAATAAGATAAAAATATGTAAAATAAGATAAAAAATATGTAAAATAACAATATACATACATATATAAAAAAATATTATAAAAGAAGTATTAAAAACTATTACAAAAAGTATTAAAAAATATTTTAAAAAAAGTATTAAAAATTATTATAAAAAAAATTATTTTAAAAAAAGTATTAAAAATTATTATAAAAAATATATATAAAAAAAAATATCAAAAATTATAAAAAAATATATAAAAAAAAATATCAAAAATTATAAAAAAATATATAAAAAAAACTATCTAAAGTTATAAAAAAATATATAAAAAAAAATATCAAAAATTATAAAAAAAATATATTAAAAAAATATCAAAAATTATAAAAAAATATATTAAAAAAATATCAAAAATTATAAAAAAATATATTAAAAAAATATCAAAAATTATAAAAAAATATATTAAAAAAATATCAAAAATTATATAAAAAAAAATATCAAAAATTATAAAAAAATATTATTCAAAAAAAGTATCAAAAAGAATTATAAAAAAATATTATTAAAAAAAGTATCAAAAAGAATTATAAAAAAATATTATTAAAAAAAGTATCAAAAAGAATTATAAAAAAATATTTAAAAAAAAAGTATCAAAAATAATTTAAAAAAAAAAGTATCAAAAAGAATTATAAAAAAAAGTATCAAAAAAAATATAAAATGAAAGTATCAAAATGAATTATAAAAAAATATATTAACAAGTTTAAAAAAAATTATAAAACAAGTACTAAAAAATTATAAAATTAGATTAATTAATATAATATCTATAAAATAAAAATAATAATTATGGAAATACAAAAAAAATTATAAAGTTAAAAATTAAATTTATTTAATTGAAAAACAAAACAATATATAACAGGAAATAAAAGAAAAAATAAACAAATAAAAAAGAAAAATAAAAAACAACTAATTTTAAAATATACATAGTATTATATATAAAATATACGTTCATATAACTGAATTCGCTGCAGTATGAATTCATATGAATTACCAAACAAATATGAATAAAATCAGCATTTCCTGCTATGTATTTCGAGGTGTGCTTTTTAATAATAATAATTAGTGCCACATTTTCATGATTTTTTATCAATTTATTTTTTATTTTCGAAAAAATTAGACAATGATTACAATGTGCGGATCACACGCTCATTTGAAAAAAATCAATATGTATCCGATACTGGCATTATCCCAAAATACCAACATGTCAGGATTTTTTTAAATTGCTTTCAAGTTTTAAAATACGTTGCACTTCGGGAATAATTATAAATCAATGCATGTATAAGAAGATATATACAAATTTGATAAGTATATAATATTCAAATGAAGTTTACGTATTTTTATATATACAATTTATACATTTTTCGCTACATGCGTGTGAGTTTTTAAAACACAAAATCTATTTTTTTATTACTAACAATGCAAAAAAATGCTGATATGTTGGTGCGTATTTAAAACAATTAAGCAGTAGTATTGCACACATATTGAATTTTGTCGCACATCGTTGTTGTTGTTAATATAGCGCACATCGTGTTTACATTTGCTTACTAGATTAATTAATATTTTATATATAATTAGTTGTGTTCTACCGCCATAGTTATTGCTTATTTTGGTGCTGCTTTGATATATTGGAAAGTGCTACGTCATTCAGTTGTGCTCGACTGAAATTTATATTTTTTATTAAGATAAATTCCAACGACTTATATAAATGACAAAGATGATCGTCCTTGCACATGCGCCAAATTAAAATTTTATAAACTAGAAATCTTAAAACTAAGTTCCCATGAACAACCGATTGTTTTATTACTTAATTGAGTTGAGTAATTCATATTGTCGATTAGGGGCATGGATGCAAGCAAATGGAATAATTTGTTAGGCGCACACTAAAATTAGCTCACACCCGAATTCCTTTAGTCATCTAACCATGCTTTTCGATCAACTACTCTTAATCGTTTAAGCGTAAATTCTTAAGCGACGCACAAAACGCACTACAGCACACACCTGTAAACGGGGTCCTTTTTTATTTCCTTTTCCTTTGCTTTATCCTAACTACATGCCAATTAATTGTTTGCCACATTTTTTTACCTCTGCATATTTGTAAGTGCCGATGCAACGATTAATATCTCATTGAGGTATTGGAAAATGATTGGCTCTTGTATGACATATGGTTGTAACATTTTAAAATCACGCAGACAGTTGATCATATGGCGAATTTGTTGTCGACAGACTGGTTCACGCACACGCATAGTCGGAATGCTGAAGTCTTTTACTTTGCGCGATGTCAATTCGCTATTTACAATATTCATTGTTTGGTGGGAAGCCAATTCAGCGGCTACGCGTGATGCAGCATATCGGCTAAGCGTTTGACTATCTTCACTATCGTCCATCTCAATATCGTCTGCTGATTCATCTGCTGAATCTGTGGTGGAATCAGTTTCGGCATTTCCACTTGATGGCAATGAATTGCTGATAGAGGGATGTTTCGGTTTTCGCTTACGACGTATGGCTTTACCTGGATCGGCGACCAATGAAAGGTATTTCGGTATGGAATTTTGAAAATCTGATGCAGTGAATATCGTTAAATCGTCGTGATGCCCAACAAAAGCTTCAGAAATGTATGAGATTATGCCTGTTGAAACAAAAAAACGAAATGGATTTTAAATTACTGATATTGTTACGGAAAGTTTTTTAATACTCACCCGTGGGTGTAATGCTGAAAATAAATTTGTAATTACTACAATCATTTGGCATTTGACGTGGCATATCTGTTTCGACGCATTCAATGAGCGACTGCACATGTGACAAAGTCGAACGGAAGGCAAACGGCAAATTTTTATGACGATCATAATATTTTTTGCTCTCAGGCCAACGCACAAACAGACGCAAATAGCGCGCCAATTTAACTACTGTGCGTGCAAATATCTGCTGCACTTCGGTTTCACTCAGCTCAAAGTATTCCGCCAGTAGTGAGAATTCCTCATTTTGACGTATCTTCTTTAAGGTCAAGAAGCAATCGGCTGTTGTTATATTAGCAGTGGTGCAAATTATATTCTTCAGCAGCGGTAAACGATTAGCCAAAACACCCAAATGCACATACGGATTCTTTTCTATTAATTCCAGTGTTACACTCCGTATTGAACGTTTGGGAAATTCACGTTTTATAACAATAGTTGGACGTCGCACTTGAAGTGTAGTGCCTTGTGATGTGACGGCATTAAATGTGTTGCCCGTGGGTGTAATCGTCGTTCCAATTCCACCATTTATGCTATTAGAAGCAGCAACTCCGCTCGCTTGTATAATTGTACTAGGTGGTAGTGCGCTGATTGTGGCGCCGATCTGTTGCTTTTTGGTTGGAGTAGTGGTAATTGTTGTACCACCAGGACCACCTATGGTCTGTTGCCATTGAAAGCTCGTTAGCGGTGTACCTGCGCTGGCAATTGTTTGCAGTGAATATTTGGTTGACTTATAAGCAGGTTCTTTAATGAAAGCAAAGATATGGGCAATATTTTAAACGATTATGTAGCAAGTACATACCAATAGATGATGTGTTGCTGCGCTTCATTATAGCAGGCTTTATAGTAGCAGGTATTTTATTGATAATTAAATTTGTGCCAGCTCCCAATTTTAATATGGGCTTCTAAGAAACGAAATAATACAAGTTAGCTACAAATTTCACAAACAAAAGCACTTGTTGAATATTAGGCTCGTCAAGCTGCGAAATTTATATCTAATTTTACTTAGCATACAGAAACTTTTTTATATGTTGAATTAAATAATGCATGTTTTCTGCTGGCCAAAACAATTTCTACATTTTGCTGCTGTGGCCTTGCTACTGACAAAAGGGCGCCATCAGCAAGTTACACACTTCCTAAGCAATTATTTGTGCTTTCAGCCATATGAAATAACACTCAATAATAATAAAAAATAATTATAATATAGTCACCTAAATAATGTAAAATTATTTGATGCAATTCTTTATCACAAACAGTTTAAAATCACCACAAATTCAAAGAAATTAAAATGCAGCGCGTTGTCCATGAAATTTGTGAATTAAATCTTATGCTCAAATGTAGCTCTCTCTGTTCAATAGAAAAGGAAAAAAGTATAACACAATGTGGAGACCTCAGTTCGTGCTGCCATATTTTTCTAAGGTTTAACAAGTCTAAAAAAGAAAAAACATTTCGTCTGCTGAAACCATAGTATAAGCAGTGGCTTTCCTAAATATTTCATGAAAAAATTGGTTTATAAAATAATTTAAAACAACAACACACAAGTATGAATTGTTAATTCGAGGTCAAATGAGTACAAGCTGATATATATATTTTTGAGTTTAGCTCATACATATATTTAACAATTTTGAGTATACTGTTTTTCTAGTTAATTTTTTCACTTAAAATGTGCTATTTTATATCCGTACAAACTTCACTAAATTGTTTTTATATACCTTTATTGATCAAAATTTGCGGGATTCTATTTTTCGCAGCCAAAAATAATATATTGTTGTAACAAATACTTTTCCACGTATATAATTAATAAAATTATGAGTACAATTCGTGTAAATCAAGTCAACTCTGGTGGAAAAAAATTGTGGGCATCAAAGTTTCAAACCGATTGCAGCGAATTTCATTAAGGGCATCGCTGGTTTATCTATTTAAAAATAGCAACTTTTTACACAAATATGAAAAATTACGAAATCTTTTTTTAGAAACTTATTGAAATAGAAAACAGCAAATAACAAACTTTGAACGCGTAACCACTTTCACATAACAAAAAACCTTTGCTGTTGGCACCGAGCATACATATACATACATACGTATGCATGTTCTATTCTGCATTGTCCGATTGTAAATTAACAAACCTTTGCATTTTGTTGTTGATGTTGAGCCTGCAATTTACTTTTTATCAATATCGCTGGAGTTGGTGCAGCGGAAGCGGTAGTTTCACCAGCCGCTGGCTTGCGATATTTCACTACGGTCAATGCCATTTTAGAATTTATTTGCATGTGTGTAATTTTTGCTGCAATATTTTAGAGGAGCATCACAAAGCGCTTCGTTTGCGCCAAAATTATATATGTTTCCAGAACTAAAATTCGCTTAGTTAATGTATAGAGTTGATTAAATTTTCATTGCAACTGAGCGTGTTTTCCTAAATTCACATCATTTTTGCACAAATTTTCATTGAGAAATTAAATCGAATTAGGTTTTCACGGTTCTTTGCTTTTAAGAATCGTCACGCAAATTACGAAGCTTGCAAATACAATACAAGTATTATAGAGTGGTGAGGTTCCTTTGTATTGGCTTACTTGGGTTGCTTTCGTGGTGAGTGCATGGTTACTTAAGAAATAATTCATTCGTTACAGTTTATTCTATTTTGGAAGTGAATAAACAAAACAATAATATGAAATGATAAATAAATAAAATTAAGAAATTAATATAAAATAATAAATAAATATAAATAATATTTAAAATAACAAATAAAATAAAAACCAAATAATATACAATAGTTAATATAAAATATATAAACTAATTTAATTCACTGAAAATAATAAATATAAAAAAATAATAAATATAAACAAAAATTAGTTATATAAACAAAAAGAATAACAAAAATAAAAATTAGGAAAAATAAAAATTAGGAAAAATAAAAATTAGGAAAAATAAAAATTAAATTGAATAATAATATATAAAAAAAATACATTAAATAAATATTAAAAAAAAACATTAAATAAGTATTAAAAAAACATTAAATACATATTAAAAAAAATTAAATAAATTTTAAAACCCAAATATTAAATAAATATTAAAAAAAAAACATTAAATAAATATTAAAAAAAACATTAAATAAATATTAAAAAAAACATTAAATAAATATTAAAAAAAAAAAACATCAAATAGATATTAAAAAAACATTAAATACATATTAAAAAAAAAAATTAAATTTATATTAAAAAAAAAACATTGAATAAATATTAAACAAAAAATAGTAAATAAATATTAAACAAAAATTAAATAAATATTAAAAAAAAAACATTAAATAAATGTTAAAAAAATTACACATTCTTATGCATCTTATCTTTTTTTTGACCCTAGAAAACTCTTTTTCCCAAAACTTCTCTATTTTTTAATATATTCTTTAATAATCCTAGTAGTTATGTATCTATATAAATATATGTTTATTATATATTTTATTGGTAGCAAAAATAATGCATACTCTATGCATACATACAAAAGAAATACTGAATAACTGTATGAGGCAGTTAATTAAAATAATTATGTGGCGTATACTCCAGGCAGGCTTGAAGCGTATTTCTCCAGTTTTTTTTTCTACACAAGATGCGTTGTCACATGCATACGAACATAAGTATATGTACGCATGCAAATGTTGTAGCCATACCTCAAACTATTTTTGTGCGGTAGAGGCGACTTAGCAGTGGTAATAAAACCAATAATATGAAATTCCAAAGTGGCGTACAAACGGCGCTTTCGAAAACGAATTTGCGAAGTTAAGTATCTGAACAGGTATTGTTAGTATTGGTGTGTTGCTAAACTGCCAGTTGTCAACGGAATGTTCTCTATGGTTCTATGTGACATCTATTGGTTCAGCTGCGTTAGGTATATACTCCTCGCTAACATCATTTTCTAAATGAAACAGATTCCGCAAACTCTCTACTGACATTTGCTTGAATTCCCAATTCGCTTGCGTTTGTTTGCCAGCATTCACCACATTGAATATATTATCCTCAATCGTATTACAAACAATAAAACGATGTACGGTTGTTGATCTACATATAAAACAAAATAGTAATTATAATTTTCTCAATATCAAAACGCAAGCAACAACCTAGTCTGTCCGAAACGATGTACGCGTCCAATGGCCTGCGCTTCCTCGCCAGGATTTAGTATGGGTTCGACAAGAAAAACATGTGTAGCCTCTATTAGGTTTAAGCCATTGCATCCTTTGTGCAAAGGCATCAGCAAACAAGTGACGCCCAATTGTGGGTTCTGAAGGAAATATACTTGTATTCTGAAGCATAAAGCCAATAAATAGGTAAATACAAACTACCTTAAATTCCTCAATTGTGCGTGGCGTCAAGTTGTGCCGGTGACGTATACCATTCTGTGTTAAAGCCATGGCGATTGGATGCAGAATTTCAGTCCATTGTGAGAACACTAAAATTTTTAAAGGCTGTACGTCTTTAGAGTGATCTCGTTGCAGCTTTAAAATCAAGCGCACAATGTAGGTAATTTTTGACGAATAGTCGCCGATGACTTGTATATTTGTTTCCGCCGAGATTGTGGCCATGCGCGTAACGTAATAAATCCTAATTGGAAGTAAGTGTAGACATATAGTAACTTAAACTGGTAAAAAATATGTATAGGTTCCCATTTACTTTTCTGAACTTTGTTGATTGCGGCAAATCGGACAGCAGAGCTTCTGATGCGTATTATATTGACGTATTGTGCGTAAACAGAAGAGACATATATTGTGTCCGCACTCCAATACAGCGTACTGAAATTATAAATTCGTGTAAATATGTAAATGCTTTGAAAGATTGCGTTTTTGTACAAACTACAAATTAACATACCCGACTTTCATCTTCTGATTGACAAATTGGGCATGGACCAGTGTCAGCATCAGCCTCCAAATGTGTTATGTACTTGAGGCGCGCAAGTTTCATTGCAAATTGTCGTTGTGCATTGTGCAGGTTCATTTGCTGCTCTAAAAAAGTATCGTCCAGCTACGGTAAAAATTAAATTTTTTATCGATTTGTATAAGCAATGGTCCAACAAGAAAATTACAAGATTAAAAATAACATGATAGTCATAATCTCAAAAACTTAAAATTAATAAATGTTAATCATAGTTTCACTAAAAATATTTAAAAAGCAGTAACTTAGGTTGTACCGAAGCTATAATAGGCTTCACAAATAAAAAAGTTTCCATAAAAAAACTTGATTTGGAACGATCAGTTTGTATGGCAGCTAAATGTCAAAGTAATTCGATCTGAACATATCGCTCGGAGATTTTAACGTTGGCTTGGGCAATAATATATGCCAAATTTCGCGAAGATATTTTGATAAATAAAAAAGTTTTTCATACAAAAACGTGATTTTGATCGTGCAGTTTCAATGGCAGCTATATGCTATTATAGTCCGATCTGTACAATTTATGCGGAGATTATAGCGTGGTGTGGGAAAATAATCCATGCCAAATTTCGTGATGATATCTTTGTAAATAAAAAAGTTTCCAATACAGGAATTTGATTTGATTGTATAGTTATATGCCATAGTGGTCCGATATTAACTGTTCCGATAAATGAGCAGCTTCATGTGGAGAAAAAGACGTGTGCAAAATTTTAGATCGATATCTCAAAAACTGAAAGACTAGTTCGCTTATATACAGACAGTCAAAGGGACATTGCGGCATCGACTCAGCTCGTCACGCTGATTATTTATATATTATATATATACTTGACAGGGTCTCCGATGTTGCCTTCTGGGTGTTACAAGCTTCATGGGAAACTTAATATACCCTGTTCGGTTTATAATTACAGATATAACCTCAAATTAATTTAATCATGCATAGATAGATCTGGCGACTACTGCTTAAACAAATATAATATTCACGATAATTACGTGAAATTTTAAAACAAAAAAATGTAAGGTTGTCATAACCTCAACTACTTAAAATTCATAAAAGCAAGTCACAATCTCACTTAAAATATTAAAAAAACAAAAGTCATAACATCGGAAATTTGAAAGCCGTAAAAGAAAATGAAAGCTAACTATCAACTTTTTAAAAGGCATCCAATCATAACCTCAAATACATGACAAAATTACAACCTGACTTAAAGAACACTAAGCATAATGTACATACATTTGTGTGCAAATCGTAAAATCAAAGATTCCAAAAAAAATAATAATAATAATTAAGATAAAATAAAAGTAATAACCTCATAATCAAGCAATTTGAAATGTGTCTTCTCCTCCTCATTTTCTGCAAGAGAAATTCGCATTTTACACATATCCAATTCATCATAAGCCTTTACTGTGTATTCAATTTCGATCCAGTATTTGATAAGCTTCTTACAATGCTGCTGACGACATTCAATGGCTTCCCAATGTCTGTCTATTTGTTGCGAGAAGCTCATGAAAGCACATTTCGTGCGTAAAAAGCTAAATAATACTGAGAAAAGTACAAATTGAAAATATATAAAAATCCACGCTCACGATTTTAGTAGACAACATACTAACCTTTAATGAGTGCTACTTCAAAAGAGGGATTTTCCAAACCCTCCGTCATATTAGTGGCTTCATCAACGACTTTATTGAATAATAAACATTCGTAATCATTAAGAGCGTTGCGTATTTGGCAAAGTTTACATAGAGTATGTTTTGACTTCTTCGACTTTAACTTCGCTTTGTCCTTTTCACGATCCTTGTTATCGTCCTGTAATATTTATTAAAAATATAAAAATAAAAATAAAATATATTGTTATTAATTAAGAACGATATAAACAGAGATTATAACAATTCCCACGACAGCCGTTTCTACTGTACCGGAATTGTCCCTATTTTTATTCGGCCCAGGGCTGTTATTTTGGCGATCTTACCCTGTTTAGATCGGTAAGTAGCAATTTAAAATTGTGATCGTCGGAGTTTGGCAGGGTTGCTTTTTATGCTCCTGACCCGTGTTGGTATTGAGACCAACCCAGGCCCGGAAGAATTTTGCTACTATACTGCTAACGCCACCACTGCGACAACCGCCTCTACGGCAGTGCAACTAGCACCTATTTCAGGCACTGCGACACCACTCGCAATTAGTAGCCAACAAAGAACCTTATCGGTCCTCAGATGGCCCGTAACTTTTTTGGAGTGCGTCGTAATCCTTTCTTTACCATTCTTGATTCTAATCTAAAAATTAAGAGTCTCAAATTTTTTTTACTTACAAGTATTTCACTAAGATGGCAGTCGTAGACGCTGCGTATAAATTTTGTCATATCACGCCAAATGGCTGGCGTATTTTTCGAGCGTACCGTTACGTTCATTGTGTAAAATTTCAAATTTTCAAACTCCTCATTCAAATGCTTTTGCGCGGCCTCCACTTTTTGATACCACATTACTAGTATGTACAACATACCCGATATGCTTTGTAATTGCTCTAATTTCGGGCTGCCACCAAAAGCGGTTGCAAATTCATCGCGAAACCGATTCAACAACGAGATCGCAAATGCGTCGTTTAGCTCGCTAATTTTATCGGCTAGCATATTAGCAAATTCTAATAGTGGTGCTTCGAGGCTCATTTCCAACCGTTTAAGCGTGTCTTCTGCATTGCTGCAGCTCGTGCGCATCGTCGTCATTGTATTCGCGTACGGTTCCAGATATTTCCACTCTAACGCGTTACAATCCTCCTCATATTTGGACAGCACGTCGGCTGGCAGTTGCTTGACATTGGCGGGTGAGATGTAACAAGCTTGCTGTATGTTATGCAATGCGTGAATTTGCAGCAAACTGTCTACACTGCAAGATAATAATATATATTAGCGTAATATTTTTTGAGGTGAAAAAAAGATATAGCTAAAATAACATACGAAATATTGATGTCCTTGTAGTCGCGCGCTAAACGCAACACCATTTCATAGTGTTTAACTGATTGTTCATAATTTCCTCTTATAAAATAAATTGCGGCCATGCCTAGATTAAAACAAAAATGAGATAAAAAATTAACAATTACTTTTTATTGTAGAATTACACATTTACCGTTGTATGAGGAAGCCATGGTGCGCAATTCGGACTTACACTCAATCTCATTAGTGGATTTGAGATGCGCATGCAAGTCCTTTGGCTGTAGAAATTGTTTCTGTTGCACGTTCGACGTGCCTTTGTGTTGCCCACTGCCCGTGTTTACAACTGGTATGATACATGACTGCCGTATTTTCAACAAAGGCTGTAGTATCTGTCAAAATACAAAAGTAAGAAAAAAAAAAACAATAGTAATAAGAGTTAAATTCAGCATACGTACAATTTTCATTATTTTCGGCGATATCTTTAATATGCCTTCAGCACTGCCCAAATGTTTTCGCAGTACATGTTGGAAGCTACTCTCACATAGCGCGTGCTGTTCAGTGTAAAACAATTTCTCCAAATTGCTCAGCCTTATGCGATGTACCTGCTCAGATTGTGGTGGAATTTGCAGTTCTGCATCGACCTTAGATTTACATGTGCGCCACATGCAACGTTGCAAAACATCAACAAGTGTCAACTCTACTTTATCATTATCACCTGCAGCATTCTGATGCATGACGAAATCATCTATTAAAGCTTTCCAACCAGTTGGTGGCGTTAAGGGTTCCGTAAAACCGATGAATTCCAATAAACCACGCAAATCATCAATGCTGCGGTGTATGGGCGTGCCAGTAACGGCCCAGCGGTTTATAGCTGTTTGTTGGAAATTAAAAAAGTTCAATAAATGTAAATAAATAAAAACATTTTGTTTTGTTTTACCTGGCAGTTGTTTTACCATAGCAGCCACATTCGATGCATTCGATTCCACCATTTGTGCTTCATCAAGGCAGACCCGCCACCACTCGACCATAAGTAATGGTGACAAGCGACGCATAGAGCGCTGCTCATTTCGTGTAACACGCTCGGATACATAAGCGCTGGTGTGATATATCTCACGGCGCAACACAGTGTAATCGGTTAGTACCACATCGTAGGTAGCCAACTCCTGTGGACTAATCCAATTGGCTGCCACTAGTTCATTGTAATCGAAAACTTTAAGCGCTGGTGTAACGTGTTTATTTATTTCAGAAAACCATTGCGTTTTTATTGTATATGGTGTCACAATGAATGTGGTTGCAGCTGGTAGTAATGAGTTTTGCGTTGTTATATACCAACAGTTAGGACATAAATAGGAATCATTGTTGGCGTTAACGTCGAAACCACTGACACACTTGGCATGTTGTTGAAATTTACATCGTTTACATGTACGTAATTCAGCCATTGTTTTTCTTGTACATATACAAAATAAGTTTGTTGATCGGCGTTTACGTTTTGCCTCCGGCTCATCACGGCATAAATTCTTAATCGGTGTATCATCTGGTAATAGGCGCTGATGTAATACTAAAAGTGCCAACATCTCTACCGTTTTACCTAAACCCATTTCATCTGCAAGTATGCCACCAGCTGGTAGCTTAATTGCTGCTGGTTGGGACTCTTGAATATGCCAACTTAATAAATGCTTGTACACAGTTGTTTCGTCATCGCGTGCCTGCAATTGGGTATAGTAATTTGGAAAAATTGTGACATTTATTTCCCGTTGTAATAGCCAATGAACTGTACGCGCCTGGTAATCGCATAATGTGGGCCGAAAGCAATCGGGTAGAATTGGCAGTCTTTGATTAGTACCACCACTTAACTCATAATGTTTTTCAAATAAAGCATCATAGAGCGCCGTAGTGACATATTCTTGCATTAAATTACGTTTAGAATCTAAAACATCATTGTCATTTGTAAAATTCTCTTTGTCTTTTGTCAGTTCTGGTGGCGTTTTATAATTTTTAAATATATTTGACAGAATACACTGCTCTTCCACTGAAGGCCCAGCTCTATTAATATTATAAGTAACGGCAAGGAAATTTCGCTCATTAATTTTATCGCTAAATTTTTCAATTGCTATTACATGATGCAATTTTGTATTTAGTTTTAAAAACAAGTCCGTTGGAAATGGGAAAAGCATGGTCCATTTTTTGTTATCCCATTCAAAACTATTCAATGTGGTAATAGAGTTCTCTATCGACTGCTGTGGATGGCTGTTGGGCTCTACCGCTATTTTACATAAAATCATTTTATGCATTTTGTTATTTACTTAACTTTAGTTATTAAACTTATTCTTGTTATCGATGCGGTTTTTTGTTCTAAAATTATGAGGCAGTTTCAGTTATTTCACAATATCTAAGTATTTGATCTTTATGTACCGACTTATTATCTATGATTATTTATCACGGATTGGGCAGTTTAATTTAATTTTTGTTTTGTGTCTCATTTCCATAACAAGACTACAACAGTATTTAAATTGTCGAAAACTTTGCGCAAAATTTCTTGTTTATATTTAGTTCTGTTTGTTTTGTTTTGTTTCAGTTTCACACAGCTGATATTCTGCGTTTACTGTGTTGCCAACAAATATTAATTTAGATAAAAATATTCAGAAAAAAGTATAGGCAGTTTGCCAAGGTAACCGGGGTACATAACGAAACTAAATCACTCAGATAAAATATTTTTAAAGGTTTGGAAGCTGCGGAAACACCCAAAATAAATACGATTCATGTTGTTGTTGTTGTAATGGTTACCTAGTCCCCGTTTGGGGGATAAATTCCAGATTCGTTGTCGTCGAAGTCATCTAACGGGAGGTTACGATTCATCCTCCTCCGCTATAGAAATATCACTTGAAGACGTAAACTTTTTTAAGTGAATCCGAAAAAAAAAACTATTACATAAATCTCTTGATTTTAAAGCCTTTTTACCTTTGTGTTTAAGATGTATAAACTTCCATACATTTTATCGACAACAGAGCAGAATTTTACCAAATCGAGCACATATGTGTTGAACCCTCTACATATCGGCTGTCATGTCGGTTATTATGCTACTACAAATTTTTGTTGAAGGAGTCTATGAGTTTTTTAAGGACCAATTGACAATTTTAACGGAATCTCATCTGTACGTGTGATCATTCATCCTTTCAGCTCTTTCGGTTATTCGTGTTGGTTTGAAAATATAACGGTAATCATTCTTGGAAATATTGAATCGCCTCTAAATACTTTCTGGAAGTTATATTATCACTTAATGGCCAATAACTTAGTATTATTGAGAGTTTTCGTATACGAGGGCGGCCTGATAAGTATACATATATACTCACCGAACGATGTCGCCACTATCACAAGAGAAAATTGTTATTGTGTAGTACATTCTCGTAGGTTTCTACTAGTGTTTGGTCATCCTTGGTGTTTGTTTTGACAGCGTGTGCGTAATATCTGCGATCTCATATTGATCGAATCAAAGTGTGTATAATAGCTGAGACAGTAGGCAGGACTGCCTCGAGCAAGAGAAAACTGTCAGTGCGGTGGGTGCCGCGTTCGATCAATCCAGATCGGCGAACTTGCTTTTAAGAATTCAAAAACTGTTCTACCGGCTGGAAAGCTGATATTCACCGTTTTGTGACATTATAAAGATGATCAAATATTTGGAGAAGATAAAAATGGTCACAACGCTCCCCTATGTCGGGCACTGACCGATTCAACAGCGGATTACAGAAAAACAGCCTCAGTTGCCGAAGTGCTCTTCCATCACGACAACGCTACGCCGTCACTATGGTTAAATTGGTCGAAAGCGAACTGCTGCCCCGTCCACTGTATGCTCCAGATTTGTCCCAGTGCGAATTCATGCTACTAAGATTTACTTTGCGGACCTCCAGAACACGTATTTGTCAGACGGGCTAAAGAAGAGCGCTGGATCAGAAGTATCGAACGTAGATTCTGTTGAGATGCAATCGTTATTTGTGTTTTTTCTATAGATCAAGTATTTATCGCATCGTATTCGTATTATATTTTGTCGTTTATTGTTGCACATGTTTGACTCGCAAACAATGGCATTTTCTTTTATGAGTAACTATTTACGCTTATATCCGCTAGCACTTCCAAGTTTGCAACTCATTAATCGCTAAGGTCTCCATTGCCATTCCAACCATCGGCAGCTAAATACGTAATCGCTCAACAAACGCTCGCCGTCGAATGCTCTGAAGTTTTCATTGAACCGCCAAAGTGCGCGGACGTTTCATACTCATATATCGCGCGTCGTGGTCGGTTGGCCGCACGGTTGGAGTGTGCGCAGCAAAGTACCTATAGAAGCGTAAATCAGTTTTAAACATTTCTGCTGTTAAATTAGAAAAGCACTTACCGTTGTTTATATGTTATCGCTAAATATTATTGAAAGCACGTGTGAAAATCGATTTAAAGATAAACTTTGCCTCATTTCGCTGTTCGATTTTGTTTTAGTGTGAGCGTTGTTTATAAAAGCGTGTGAAAGTATGTATATAAAATAAAGCAAAAAATAATAAACCGCACCGCAAATTTAAATGAAGTGTGAGAGAAACAAATTGTGATTATTTTGTTGTAAATAATTATTTTCAATGATTTTTCCTACACGTACATACTTATGTACTATGTATGTGTGCTTAATTTACTGTTTAATTTTTAACAGTTATTTTTATAAAATGTTACAATCAAAGTCATCGGCAATAATTATTTATTTAATTCATAACCATTGTTTGTGTTTGAAATGACTACAATCAGCAGTCAGCCAAAGTCACCTGCATTATAAGCCAGCGTTAACCGTTAGTTAAACGAAATTATGTGTAATACCCCGTAAAACATGTTCCGCCCGCATATAAAACTATTCATTAGTTGTGAGTGGTTAAAATAATGGACGCAAGTGGGTGTAAATACTTACATACAAAGATATATCTCTTAGCAAGTGATTCGTTATATGAAATTGGTCGGAATACTTCAAAGGCTGGCAGACCAGCTACGTTTGGCTAAACACATTTATTCATTCATTCATTAAATTTATTTAAGTTACAGTCAAATCGGTATATAAAAACTGTCTCTGCACGGGGGTGGTCCGTTAAGTACTTAGCCTAAAAAGAAAAATGAAAACTTTTAACAAATTACGAATTATTTCACAACATTGTCTCCTTTTAGCTCGATATGCGTGAGCCAACAATGCTCCAACTATTTGACTCGTCTGTAAAATACGTTTTCGCAAATTAGGGCTCCGTGGTGGCGATAAACTACTCATTCGACTCAAAGTAAGCATTCGATCCGGCAAGTAAATTTTTCAAATAATTTTAAATCGTACGGAGCCAAATATGCCGAATAGCAAAATTCGATTTGGCTCAGATGAGCGGGTGCATTGTCCTTTCTTTGCCAAAAGGGTAGAACCCTATGAGAAGGACAAAACGCTTCCTTCAAGCATTCGATGTAGATAACACCTTGTGAATTTCAAAAGACGATGGTTATCACTCCGGTCGATAGGACAGTTTGCACTTTCTTCGGCGCAGGTTTGCGCAGTGCAGTTCACTGTTTCGACTGTGCTGTTGGTCTTTTGGTGTGTACCTTTGGATTCTTATTTCCTTGACGGTCACCAAACGATGTAAAAACTCTTTCGTATTGGCTTTAAACAGCGTTAAACACAGCTATGAAATGGTCTCACAGTTGCGCTTGTCGTGCGTAGTGAGCAAACCCCGCACATATCGCTCTGACAGCTTTCTTATGCGCAATATTTCGTGGCCCACACGGTATTTTGCGATGTATACTCTACGTATTACCTACGGACTTAAATTACTACAAGATAGTAAATTTCTTTAGACAGCTTCTTAATTGATGCCTAAACTGTGGGGTAGGAGATACTAAGTCGATAATAGTAAGAATCCGGCAGGCACATTGTTGCATATGTAAGTATATATTATATTTAGGAAATATCTTGGGTCCCTTACTAAACACAACGCAACCTGGAATTATGTATTCAAAATATTTCAGGGCTGTGGCATGACACTAAATGTGTATAAAATATATAAACAGAAAAGAATCAGTGTTCCACAACTGTTTTATTAATTAAGTAATATGCGGAAAGGAACATGCCAGTTGGGTATTTTTCGGAGATACAGTTACGAGCAATAAAATAAAATAAAATAAATAAATATGTATATAATATAAACGATATACATGCATATATATATATAATACTAGATGCGGCCACGCGTTGCTATCCAACACAAATGTAAATAGAAAAACATAATAAAAATATAATAATTTTAAAAATGATGGATAGAAATTTTTATCAATCAAAAAAATAATGAATATTTAAATCTAAACCGAAAATTTATATTTTTGGCTTTGGGACTTATTTATAGACACGACGAATGTTAAACCAATGGTAAACTTTCTGAGAAATGTTTTAATTTTTAACAAAATTGAAATATGAACTAATCGATCTTTTAAGTGGGATCACACTGGTCGCACTGTGAAAAATTTCAGTCGGTTCAGTAGTTTAGGAGTTTACCTCTCACAAAACGTGACCCGTAATTCTTATGTATATATGTTTGTCCATTCGTATCGCAATTTCTATCAGCTGAAGCCGGTCAGTTTTGTTCCTTTCTATTTTATACCGTGAACAGCGTACTCGTATATGAAGTTTGCCACGATTTTTACAACACTCAGAAAAAACGTCGGAGACCCTATAAAGTGTATATGTATATACCATAAGTGATCAGCGTGACGAGTTGAGTCGATTTAGCAATGTGTGTCTGTCCGTTTGTCTGTATATGTATACGGAAACTAGTCATCCAGTTTTTGAGTTATTGATATGAAATAAAATTCCATATTTCCCTCAGTTTTTTAGATATCTATCGAATGTTACATAAGTTCTTTTCTCCAATGTCTCAGAACTGCTTCTCATATAAAAACCAATATAAATACCGCTAATCTACATATATTATTTAGCCTGTAAACTTCTATATACTACTACTATATATATACACTAGTTATCCTCAAAAGCACTAAAAATTAAGCGTTGCAATTTTTCTACCTACAACTGTATACGACAATATTGCCGTGAATATCCAACCAACGTGCCCGGCATTTTTAATTAAAAACTGATTGTTACTTTAAATTTTTATTTATCAACACACTTATTCCAAACTCATACATATACATATGTACATATGTACTTGTATATATCGCAATGTTATGTCCGCAGACACTTACAAAAAAGCTAATTCGCTCCCAGATTAACTGACAAGGTGACTAATGTCGCCGGTGTACTCGCGAAGACGCAACAAAAAACGTTGCAGTGGAATTAACAATTAAAAAATTGAATCGAAAAATGGGCGCAGAATTCATTGCTTTCCGCTGTGTGCATAATTAATTAATACAATATTTACAATAACATTAATAACAACAATAATAAAATAATAATAATAATAAAGCATATCATGCCTTGTGCTATCACCGGCTGATAGCGATCGTGTATGTGTGTATGCATATAAGGGTATTTTTGTGTATGTGTGTATATGTATGTGGAGTAATAAAAAGCCGAATTTAGTTATCATATCAACGATAAATTGAACAAGTAAATATTGGCTATAGTAAAGAATTAACTGGAACTCATGCGTTTGCAGATATATTTATATCCACTACAATAACAATAACAGCCAGTCTTCGCAATTGCATGGTTTATTGTGGGTGGCGCGAGTGGCTTTAACCAGTGCGTGTGCAGCTAGTGCTTTTGGAGCAGATCAGTGAATTTTGGTGCCGCATTCGGTGTTGGATTTATTTGGTAAGTTTTTAATGATAGGAATATATATATATATATTCATATATATACATACATATTTACATAAATTATGTACAAGTATATATCTTTATATAATTTTTATTAAGTATACAATGTTGGAGTAAAGTTATGGGTATTTATTTAGAAGGTGGGTTTTTCAGCAAGTGAAGAAGCTTATTTTTATTGCTAGCCCTACATTTGCTTTTGCTAATCTTGCCAACCTAGCAGCATACTTTAAATGTTACGAGGGCTACCTTTTAAATTTCGAGATTAGAGAACACAAACATAAGATTAAGATCTATACACTTGTGTGTGTTTAAATCAATTCTCGAAGCACGTTTGCCACTCTGATTGAGGTATTTCTAAAATACGTGATCTGAACGCGTCTACGGCCATTTTAGGTATCGAAAAACGTTGACCTCTTAGTTTATTTTTTACGTACGGGAATAAAAAGAATTCAATCGGTGTCAAGTCAGGACTAATATTAAATCGATTTTTTTAGTGCTCAAATTCGTGTGATCCGTCTTCGATGGTTGGTTTACCTGATTTCTTGAAAGACAACTGTCAAACAAATGGTTGTGTACGACACGATTTACTGTTCTACATACCGTTTGCGTTCCAGTTTTTCCAAAATAAACAGGCAACGATTTGCTTGGAAGTGCTTCGTGCGCGAACAACTTTTGTTGGATTCTTCGCATATGGAAACACCCATAGAGTTGACTGCTATTTACTTTCGTGCTCTACGAGTAAATCCATCTGTCAAAAAGTCATATCCGTGTTTCGAAGCAACGCTATCGTATTTTTTTAACATTTCTCTCGACCAATCGAACCTTTTTTTGAGTGATGGTGTGGGATCCAACGTGAACAAATTTGTTGCTCAGTCAAATATTCATGCAATATTGAATGTATGTTGGTCTCATTATTGTCTCAATGTCATGATATCAATTTGCGCACGGCATCAATACTTTCGTTACCATCGATAAGCACTGATCCTTGATGAGGCTTCATCGCCAAAAATTGAAATAAGTTCATCGATGCACTGTTGCTGCGTTAATCCGCGTCGAAAGTTGTAAAAAAAAAAATCGCGCGAATATGTGTGCATTTCAATTCAAATTTTTGGTGAATATGAATATTTTATGTTACTGTAAATAACACAAATAGTTAAATGTTAAACTTTACAATAAAGTTGTGAGTTGCCAGATTACAACACTAGGGTTGCCAAATCTGAAAATAAAAAAGGCATACTTGTAGTAAATGATGTTTTGTTCAATAAAAAATTTGTATTTAAAAAATACACGGTACGCCATATTTAAAGCCGCAAAAAAAACACTTAGTTTTGAAAGAAAAAGTCCGATCTTTTAACATGGAATATTCCTATTAATAAGTAATTTGGTGCTTTACAACTTATATGTACTATTTTTTAATACAACATCAGTCAAGTGGCTGGCTTTATTGGACACAGCTGAATATCGGTCGGTATAACGATTATTGTGGTACGTATTTAATCCGAGGTATCGTCAACAGTCTGATGATTGTTGCCATAGACTTACCTTTTCAAATAATTCAAAAGTGGGTCATATATGAAGAAGTTGTTGGTTTAAGGTTAGCGGTTTAAGGGAAAGCGCAAATCTAACTGCCGTTCAAGTCACTTAACTATAGTTTTAGAAGATGTGAAGACTATTAAATGTAACACCCATATGTTGTGTGTTAGTGACTGTCGAAATTTTGATAACATCGACTAAAATGTTGAGGTCTAATATGTATTCCTTCGCCGGTTTGTTAATATGTAAATATGATTGCCGTGGTTTTTACAGGGCGAAATTCTAGGCTCCTTGCAGTGAAGAAGCGAGACATCAATATCCTGCAATTATTAGCATATCGAGATATAGAGAAACAGGTGCACAACTTGATAAAACTTGTAACCGTCAAGACCTTTAAATAAAAGTGGAAAGTCATAATTAGCCCAAATCTTTGATATCGGCTTGCATCGACTGATTTTGTATAAAGGTCGATTTAAAAGGTCTCTTTTTAGTGAAGTAGTCACGTTTTATGGGACTATAATGGATAAATATGTGAATTTTTCTTAATAACGTCGCAAAACACGTTGAGTTTAAACAAGTCAGCGGATATTTTTAATGTAACGCAACACTACTTTAGCGCTTTGTTTCGGCATTATGGGCATAAAATCAGTATAAGTAGCATCGAATTATTACCAAAAGGCAATCAACTTTTATATCTTTTTAGCTTAGAATAGAAAGAAAAAATAATTTTAAGACTCTATTGTATTTGTATATTCGTAATTAATCAGACGATACCAATCAATATCATGACTCAGCAGGTGATTGTGCATTCTCTGGACTGTGAACCAATGCTACTGAGATTGGTATGAAATAATCTGAAGAAATTAGTATTCTCGAATCGGCAAACTTAGAAGAGTGGCAAATCGAACATACAAATTGCATGAATCAAATTGTCCTGCATATTTGTTAAATTAAGTATTTGAAAAGGGTGAACTGATATGCAATATAGCTCAAACAAAAGCAGCAGACAAGTGTGGGCTCCTTTTTTTTATAAACAAACAAATGGCAGAAAAATCGATTAATTTCATCTTTATAGTCATTATTTCGATGAAACGAACCACAGTACAACAGGTAACATGCCAGTAAAATAAGTAACTCAAAGCTTTGCTAAAAATCTGAATATTAGAAAATAAACTGTAAATTTACTAATATTCCAGGTATTCAACTAAATCGTAAAGTAGTAAATATTCATTAATAGTCACGAAAGTTATTTTCAGACGTGTTAAAAACCACACCAAGTCAATATAGTATATATTTCATGATATGTACATACATACATATGTACGTATGTACTCGTATATCTTGATTTAAACTTAAATGGCGCCACGAGTTTGAATGCATAAATATTGGCTAACAAAACCGAGTTCAAATGTTCATTATAACTGTGAAATCATACAAATCGTCGACACATTAAGTAATTACAGATAAGTTTAATGTCTTTTAATGACGATCTATAAATGTCTGTACTACATATCATATATGATTTAATAAAAAAAATCATACAAGTTTATATAGATATACATATGTATGTAAGTATGTAATAATGAGCGAGTTTTACAGTTAGCAAAACTTTACCAGCATTAGACTGGTCAGGTGTTCCATGAAGAGCTTTGAATATTAATATATAATATTTGCATCAATCGTAACTTTGGACAAAAAGACATCTGCTTGCTATAAAAAAATGAATCCGAAATAAGCTTGGGGAATTCCTCGTGGTGGCAGCTCCTAGATAGTATTTGTAAATCCGCGTACGTTTCGGTTACGTAGACCTGACCTGCTCTCTCTAATTTTTATCTCTCTTATTTGAAATTCCATATTCTGGTTTTGATCTGAAACTTTTCTCAAATGAAATACACCTATATTTACTTTACGGTACTTTCGGTTCTACATTCAGAAAATATAAGCGCCTTGGTGTCAAATCCATGTTTTTTTTTGCTCAGAAAAACACGAGCAAGCGTCGATGAGTAAGAAGAAGTGCTATTCAGGAGGAGTCCAGAAGTTAATTTAGTATTTATCCCCACAAAGGGTCTTGAATTCCAACGTAATATTACTTTTTGACCTTATTACCTTTTGGAAAAGATATTGTAGGAATTAAATTGTGCCGCACTCATATCTTTTAAGTCGTCACGCTAGAAATCATTGACAAAATCTTTGGTATGATGATATTTCTTAGGTTGACGCATTAAAGTAAATGAGGTGAATAAAGCAGTAGAATTCCCCATCCTTTACAGATTACAACGATTATTGTTACCAGTCAATAAACCTTTTTTAAAAAATATATTAGAGATCCCTGAAACTATAAAGTGGAAACATAAATAAAGGTAATAATAATAGTTTGAAGAAGTTATGTGTTTCCAATCTGTATAGTTCCAATCTTTAATTGGGTTTAGCAAAAACTTTTTCTAAAAACAACAAAAGTTTGTTAATTGACTTTGACTCTAAGCTAATCGCTAAGCTTGACGTCTAATCAATAAAACTTAACTTGCGACCAGTATATTACAAAATCATTCCTCCATACATATCTATTAATGTAAGTACATAGTATATACGGTACGTAACGTACGTAATTACGTATGCAACTGATTTTCTACAGAACTCATGAAATCTGTTTTCGCTGACATCGGGCCACCTCCCACCATTCGTAGTTGACAATATACAGACAGACAGCGGGCATGCCGCAGAGCAGGGGTCCAAAAGACACCATGCTGCACTTCTTGTACTTGTTCGGTGTTGATCTACGCAGACCGGCTGCGTGCCAGGGTACATTGCATGCGATTGAACTAAATATGGGAGTGTGGGAAGTGCGTGACAAGCGCAAACATACTGCAACTACTATAACTGAGTAAGGCAAGTCCAAGTGAGTATACGACTTTCGGGGGCAGTGTTGAATGATTGAGTTAAAGCACCGTACGCCTGCATGGCGGGCCTCAGCGACTTCAGAACACAGTTGTTTTAAAAATAAACACTGCACTTGACTAGCAAATACTAACACACATACGAGTGTACATAGGCTGACAGCAGTCGATGGGTGATCGGTTGAAACTAACGGCACCCTCGTTTTTGTTGTCTGGAAGTTTATTTATGTTCGCGTTTACGACAAGTGCTGCCACATTTCTATTCAGGCGACTGTGTATGCGTATGTGTGTGCATAAATAAGTCATTTTCAGAGAACAGACTTAATCAAAGTTCGCGACAATTGAATCAACTGCTAAGCCTGCTCCACTTCCATATTACACCGTGGTGTAGCAGAACAAGACCATAATAAACACATTTAACAAGCGATATACTTAAGTTCACAACACTTTATTTGCCATTTTCTTAAACTCTTGATTACTGCTCCGGCTATTTCGCCATCACTTGAGCTATCTTGGTATATACTCGACCCCGGTTTTCAACTATAATCAAATATTTTGTTCTAAGGGC